CAGGGAGCCCGATGCGGGGCTCGATCCCAGGACCCTGGGATCATGACCTGAGCCGAAGGCAGACGCTTAACGACTGAGCCACGCAGGCGCCCCGGATTCATTTTCATTCCACACATTTGCTCTGGGCCAGTCAGACCAGTAAGAGCGATTCCCCTTCCTTCTGCCTTTTCCCCTTCAAACTGTCAGACCCCTTGGGCATGCTCTATGAGACAACACCTGTATTTCACTCCAGGATGCCTGAGAAACGGGGTTCACTGCCTGGGTTCATCCGACCACCGCCACCCTCTTCACTACTCACTTGTACAGGCTTCTGCCCCCAATGGTTGTCAGGTTGGAAAAGACACTGAAGTTGTGCATGTGCGGAGGCCAGGACTGGATGTTCAGGTAACCTGAGGGGTTGGAGAGAGGCACGTGAGCAGGGAGTCCTCTCCCTTCGCTTCCTCAGGTTCTACAGGTCCCCTCTCCTCTCGCCTGGGACATGATTCTGTAAGTAGTTATACAACAGTCTGTGCCGGTGGTTCACCTCCTCCTCCTAGAAAAGGCACCCTCTCCTCCCGCTCACCTGTGATCTCCCGTACTGTCCGGAAGACACTGAGCTTCTCAGGGTCCAGGGCAGGGATCTTGTGCCAGGGGTCTCTGGAGAGAACAGTAAAAACCAGTCAACAAGGTAGAAGTAGAACCCAGTAGCAAGAAGCATGCCTAGCCTCAGAAATTAGTTTCTAAATACCATTCTCCACTAAAAGGAAACAGGGCTCCTTGGAGAAATGGCTAGGGCAGGAGAAATAGAACAAGTTTATAGCAGCCGATGCAAAAAAGTAAGGAAGCGCTCAGAGAATGAAGGGTACAAGCCCAAAAAACACAGGATCTGGCTTGAAGAAGCCCCCAATGGCCAGATCAGAGACACCTGACCACCAAAATAATGACTATAAAAGATTTTAAAGGACTGAACAAAACAGGTATCAATCAATCAATCAATCAGTGGAAGGGAAGACTCTTCCTAACACTAAAATGCCAACAAATAAATGCAGAAGGAATAAGGAATAATGGAATTAGAAAATCATCATGTGGCAACTCTCATTAAAAAACTGATTCAGGGAGGGGCGCCTGGGTGGCTCAGTCGTTGGGCGTCTGCCTTCGGCTCGGGTCATGATCCCAGGGTCCTGGGATCGAGCCCCACGTCAGGCTCCCTGGCCGGCGGGAAGCCTGCTTCTCCCTCTCCCACTCCCCCTGCTTGTGTCCCTTTTCTCGCTGTCTCTCTCTGTCAAATAAATAAAAATTAAAAAAAAAATCTTAAAAAAAAAATTGATTCAGGGGACACCTGGGTGGCTTAGTCGGTTAAGCGTCCAACTCTTGGTTTCAGCTGGGGTCATGATCTCAGGTCATGGGATCGAGCCCCGGGTCAGCTCTGTGCTCACCTCCTTCTCCTTCCCCATCTGCTTCTCCCCCAACTCCCATGTGCTCTCTCTCTCTAATAAATAAATAAATATATATATAAATAAAATCTTAAAAAAATTGATTGGTGGAGCATGTGACTCTTGGTCTCAGGGTTGTGAGTTCAAGCCCCATGTTGGGTGCAGAGATTACATAAAGATAAAATCTTAAGGGGTGCCTGGGTGGCTCAGTCCATTAGGCATTGGACTCTTATTTTGGCTCAGATCATGATCTCAGGGTCATGAGATCGGGCTCCGCATGAGGCTGTGTGCTTGGCATGGAACCTGCTTGGGATTCTCTCTCTCCCTCTCCCCCTCACTCCCCCACCTCTTGCTCTCTCTCTCTCTGAAATAAATAAATAGAATAAGTAAAATCTTTAAAGAAAGAAGTAGGAGGACACAATGTCCTTGTCCCCTGCCATTCAGCTAGATGGTATCAGATTGCTTAGGGATGTCTCTGAGGGGATTCAAGTCCCGGGTGGGAAACAGAGTTAGGTATGGTTAGGTACTGTGTGACCTCTAAAATTTTATGATTTATATTCCTTTTATTTTTTCTTTAATTTTTTAAAAAGATTTTTATTATTTATGTATGTATGTATGTATGTTGAGAGAGAGAGAGAAAGCAGGGGAGGAGCAGAGGGGGAGGGAGAGAATCTCCAGCACAGAGCAGAATGCAGGGCTCGATTTATATTCATGATATGATTTATATTCCTAATCAGCTGCCCATATGAAGGGTTGAGCCAAATGCAATGAACTGTGTGGGGATGGATGGAGTGGAGGATTAGAGAGAGGAAGCAAAATCTCTAACCCATTGAGGCCAGTGATAAGAAAGTCCAGGTTGCCCAGGATCTTGGTGCAGTTCACAAATCCATCAATGTTGCTAGAGTCCACAGTCTGGAAGCGGCTCCCAGAGCCTGTCCCCTCGCAGGCTGTAAACACAAAAGAGGCTCAGTGGGTGGGGCCTCATTGGTCTCTTCACCACCTCCTCACCATCTCCTACTCACCTTTGGGGCACAGGCCCCCACAAGGTTCACACATCTTAAGTCCATTTTTATCTACTTCCATCTTGTCGGGAGGACAGGCCCGGACACAAGACGTTTGATCCACCACAAAGTTATCTAGGAGAGAGGAGGGCGCCATTAGAGACGAGGGAGAAACACTGCCAACGACCAACTGAACCTTGCTCCCTCCTGCTCTGTGCTGGATTGTCCCAATCCACCACCCAAGGTTCCTTAAGCACTGTCCTATGGATGAGAAAGGCCCTTTGCTCTTTGTTGCAGAACTAGGAGCAACTGCTAAAAATCATGGGGAAGCAGATGGGCGAGCAGGACAAAGGGATCATTCACTGGAGGTGGTTAGACGATCACAACCTACGTCCTCTATTTACCACCCAACTTGATCTCTTTTACCTCCTAAAATTTTGTCTAAAATTCTGGTTCCACTACCATTGTTCCTCTTCTTAGGCACTTACGAGGACAGCTGGCTACACAAACTCCACCATACTGATACTTGGTGTGGGGATTGGGTTCCAGCTGGAAAGTTAGCTTGTTGTAGACAAGAGGCTGTGGACACTGGCGTACACAGGCCCCACTGTCATTGAAGAGTCGACAGGCCTAGGGACATAGGAGATTCATAAAACTCACGTTATGTGTGTGTCCCTACTTCCTCCCCAAAGCCCACATCCCCATTTCGGAATCTGGGCAAATGGTGGTACATACAAAGCAGTCTGTATTCTGAGGGCCTGAGCAGCCTCCTGCGCACTCATCATGGCAGCACTGGTTGGGGTTGGGCCCAAAGCAGTGACCGTTACATTGAGGGGCACAGATGGTCTTGGTCACTATAGAAAGAGAGAAAGCATGGCAGTCAGGGCTCTTAAGACTGTACTGCGGCCAGGGCGCCTGGGTGGCTCAGTCGGTTAAGCGACTGCCTTCGGCTCAGGTCATGATCCTGGAGTCCCGGGATCGAGTCCCGCATCGGGCTCCCTGCTCGGCGGGGAGTCTGCTTCTCCCTCTGACCCTCCCCCCTCTCATGTGCTCTCTCTCATTCTCTCTCTCTCAAATAAATAAATAAAATCTTAAAAAAAAAAAAAAGTACTTTGAGAATGTACTGGGGCCCGTGCTCACCCTCTTGCCCTCTAGGCTTGTCCCTACCCACAGTGTTGACATAGGTTGGTGGCGGGGGGGAAGGGATACGAAAGTGTATGAGCTTGACGTTTTTGGAGGGGAGTAAACTCACATGTCTGGCAGTCTTCTGGGCTAGGACCCCAGCATCGCCCCTTGCAGGCCTCATGACACGGGGGACCTGGTTGGGAAGGAAAGCAACACAAAGAGCTGTCAGGGCTAAGAAAGGCTTGCTTGAGTCAACAGGGTATGACGTCAGCACACAAGCACCCCAGTCCCTCGAAGCGAAGAGCCAGGGCAGTGTCCCTCCTTGCCCTTGCGGAGCAGGGCTGGGCTCAAGTGAACCTGTCAACAAGGGGTGGAGCCACACCTCCGCAGCACCCACAGGGCAGCTGAACGGGAGAGTCTGGGGCAGTTGCCAAGCTCGGCCCCAGTCCCAACCCAGGAACTTGGTTCCTCCTTGGCAAACTGAAGCCAGTAGGAATATGTGTGTGTGTGAGTGGACAGGGAGCAGCAGACTGTGATCAGGGGGAGGCAGGTTCCAAGAAGAAGGGAGAATGTTGTAATGAAAAGAGATGTGGATATGGAGTCCAAAGATCTGGCTTCCCCACTTAGTACACAGACATCTTTTGCTCCTTTTCTTCACATAATGCTTTGGGAGTCTGGATTCTAGGAGGCTGACCTGCTCTCTCCTTGGCAGGTCTAGGGCCTGAAGTGTTGCTTTTCGGTGGAGAGGTGGGTCCAGATTAGGGATATAATGATGATGGTGAAAGGGGTCACTCTGTTTGGTGGGGGTAGGGGAGCAGTCTTGATCATGGTCACTCACAGCTCCTGCCATTGTCCTTCACCACTATCTCGGCATCTCGGTCCCTCACGATGTCCCTCCAGTCGATTGTGTCCATGTGACAAAGCTTATCATTCTTCTCAATATAAACGCCCCCTGACAGAATCTCTGAGGTAGGGAAGAGAAGTGACAGGGTTAAGGGCTACAGCAGACCTCCTCTTCCCTCCCCCTCCCCCTGCACCAACCCAAAAGGCCACCCAAGACTCAGGAGAAGGGGAAATGGGGCAGACAAGGATGTCTAATTAAATCCAAACTGCAGAGAAGGCTTGCCTTGTAAGATAGAGGAGGAGCCAGGCCAAAAGAAACTCCGGCCTCCTCAGACACCTGTCCAGATCCGGTTTAGCCAGTGGGGGAGGGGAAAGGAAAGAAAGAGAGAAGATCCCTGACTCAATCACCTCCTTCCTCCACCCTACCTGTGTGTTTTCCAACTGACTGGGACAGGGAGAAGTAAAAGGTAACCATGTGTTATTTAACCCCATATTCCCCCCAGCTTGTGGGGAATTGTGCGGGGGAGGAGATAGGATTCCCATTCCCAGGGATGGAGGGACATCAAAGTACACTGTACTTTAAAGGCAGAGGAGTGGGTAACAGATCTAGCTCCAACTCCAGCCCCGTGGGACATGAGGACCCTCCCCCTGGGGAGTAGTGGGCCTTTAGACCACAGTAGTCAAGGTGATGGGCCCCATGAAGGGGGCACTTAGCGAGCAGTCCTGGGTTATCATCGAGGAGGCCCCTGCCTGCAGGTTGGTTGAGGGGCAAGACTAGAAGGAATCGTCAGGAACTGACCAGTGAGCTGAGTAAAGCGGAGCTGGCGCAGAGCATGGCTGGAGTTGGTGTTATAGTTCAACATGACAAAGATGGCAAACTTCCCATCGTACACCTGCGTCCCCCGCACCACCCGGAGGTTGGGCAGTGGCAGCGTAGAGAACTCATTCATGGCCACGAGGACATAGCCGGTCACTTCTCGGATCCACTGTGATGGAACAGATTGTGTCAGTGGGAGGGAAAATAGGGAAAAAAGCCTCAATCTCCTCATTAAGGAATCCCTAACCCCTCTAATTCTTTCTTTTTTTTTTTTTTAAGATTTTATTTATTTATTCGAGAGAGAGAGAGAGAGGATAAGAGAGACAGCACGAGACGGGGAGGGTCAGAGGGAGAAGCAGACTCCCCGCTGAGCAGGGAGCCCGAAGTGGGACTCGATCCCAGGACTCCAGGATCATGACCTGAGCCAAAGGCAGTTGCTTAACCAACTGAGCCACCCAGGCACCCCTCTAATTCTTTCTAATTCCTACTGTGGAGTAGAGAGTAGCTGGTGTCACACTGCTGTGTCCCTTCTGCCAAGGAAGACAGGTGGCAGAAGTGACTGAGGAATTCTAATCTCCTACCCTTTCCTTCTCAAAGCTCCTCATGCCAGGAGGGTCCTTGCTTGGTCCCTTCCTCATCTTCCTAGGTTCCTCTCTCCCTTGGCCCCTGGTGCAGAACACTATCCCACCCCCACCCGCTTCTCATCGCCAGCCCCTGTGCATCCCTGGTGACAGCGACCAGACCAGAGGTTCCAGATTCCAGTCACTGCCCCATAAACACACAGGCTGGGATCTTCGGAACTGCAGAGTTTTAGGAATGCTGAACTCCAGCAGAGGGTAGCCCTGAGGAAGGGAAGGAGGCTTCTGTGGGGAGGATTAAGGGGGAAGAGGTTGAGGTAGGGAGTCAGGCACTCTAACCTGCAGGAAGGAGAGGTCAGCATTGTGTCCTGTGAGCACAATCTCAAGGTTCCCCATCACCACCTCGCACCTCTCGTAGAGCTTGTACAATGTCTGGTATTGGTTCTCGGCATCGCCCGTCACACTCAGCCCATTCAGAGTCCCAGGACACACTGCTCAAAGGGGAGGTAAGAATGACAGAGAGCTGGACACAAGTTTTCAGCCTGGTCCCCCAAAACCGTCCCCTGGGTTGCCCTCCTACAGTAACATTCAACAGGATTAGGAAGCAGCCGCCTCCAATCGTCACCCCTAGAGAGAGAAATGAAGGCTTATGTTGGACTGAGAGCCTTAATCCCGCCTCTCGCAGAATCCCCTCACCATCTCTCTGAACAGGCAGGTGAAAAGGTTTCCCTCTTCCACCAGGGCCTTCCTCTGTGCCTCTTTCAGGTACGACTTTGGGTACTAAGGAGTTAATCAAAGAGGATGTAGGGTTTTCTTTCCCTCCCTAGAGAGGTTAGAAAAGGACCACAACTTGGTTACCCTCCTCTTCCCTTCCCCCTCTCTGACCAGGGTACTTACTTCTCTACCCCATCCTGCCTCTCTCTAGGTCCTGGAATAAATATCTCTTTGGGGCTAGCACACAGCCCCTATTGTGTCTACTGAGGGTGGGATGGGGGCAGAGGGTGGGGGCAGTGCCCAGGGCCACAGTTCAGCCCACAATGAGGCAATTCTATCTAGGAGGAGGGGGCTGCTCCACCCTGTCCCGAGACACCCTGTCCTCAGTAGCACCCGCCCCCCTCCACCCACAAGCCTTAGGCTCAGGCAAGTGACCTCACTAGAGGGGGAGCTCTGGTGGGGAGAGGGGGTCAATGTGAGCTTTGTCTTTGAAGCTGAAAGATAAGGAGCTGGTTGCCTACCCCGCACCCCCCTTCCTAAACTCTGGCTTCCCTTTTCCCTTCCCCTATCCCAACACACCCCAGGTCCTCGGCCTCACATTTTCCAGTCAATACACCGTAGCCTGGAGGGAAACAGCAGAGGATTGCCCCCATTCTAAGCCTTCCACCCGATTTCATTGTCAAAAGATTCATTAAAAAGCTTTCCAACATGGCAATCCTCATGAGGTATGCCAGTCTTGGGGGTTCACTTGACCTTGTAAGTATGGAGGATACAGGGGCTGTGCGAAATCTTGGTCCCTGAGGCCCTACCTCTGTCTCTTTCCTCTGCTCACTGAAAGACTATGGGGAGGGTGGGGGGTAGATACCACCTGTTCCAACCACCCTTCCCTGAGGCGCTGGCAGTTTAGTAGGAGGCGGGAGTGGGAATGGAGGAAGGGAGATTAGTGAGGCCCCAACCCCTCCTCCTAGATACACCCCTAGGCTGACCACTTGACCTTTGAGGGCTCCCATTCCCTATGGCTCCCCACAATGCGAAGGAAGGGGGTAGGCTAGACCCAGCAGAGGGGTAAACGGGCTGGGAGCTCGCAGAGGAGCCTGGGAACTCTAGGGTCCTTGGGCTGAAAGGAAAGAAACTAGGAAGGTTAGTCATTTAGGGAACAGCCCCACCCTAAACCCCTTCCTGGCAGGACACCCCCTCTTCCAAGTCAAGGCGCCAATCCTTCTCCCCAGATAAGGAAGGAGCCAAGATTACTGCACAGAGAAATGGGGTATGTGATGTGTTTGTGTACATTCATGTGCGACCTACACTCACACACACACACACACACACATAGACAAGCGTGTGCCCAGCTCCCCCACTGGCCCAGAAATCCATACTGGTTCTGTCCTTGGGTTTCCTTATAAGGAAGTATTTCAGGTGGCCCCATCCATCCCACCTGCCTTTATAGTGTTTGTGTAGACTCTGTGTCTGTGTCCGGAAGGCTACAGTGTTAGAGGCCCCGTTCTCTGCCACCCTGAGGGTAAAGTCCATATTACACAAACAGGGAGCAAAGGGCCTGCTCAGGAAAAGAACGTGAAAACCACCTCTAAGGAGAACAAGCAGCTTGGGGAGGAGGGCAGGGGGGAAGGAATAATAAAAATCCCTGCTGTACCCAGGCACCAGGGGCCTAGGGAGGGGCCTGGGCGCTCCTTTGGTAGAGAGCACTGGGGTGGGTCAGACCAGGAATCTCCAGCCCCTCCTCAACCAGAGGCCTCCTCTCCAATATCCCCCACCCCCATCACAGCCAGGACAAAGGGACTATAGAAGGACTGAGACAGGGCCGGATGCCCAGAGGCTGCAGGATCCAGATAAAGGGTAAAGAAACCCAACCATGCCTGCCTCCTGTCTCCTTCAGGGAAGGTGGCCAGGATCTGGGACTCCTGGGTTCCTGGGGGAAGATTCTGAGAGTCTGGATGGGACCCTGATGCATTCTATTTGGTCCCTCCCACTCCAGTCCCCAGACCCCCGCCCTCCACCAGCTGGGAGTTTCACATTCAAGATCCCAGGTCTAAATTTAGGCCCAGCAACTGTGGGGGAAGCACAGGTGTTTCTCCCACTCCCACTCCGGGGAAGAGGCCCTGGCTGTGCCAAACCCCAAGCTGAGATCTGGGGGAGGGGAAGAGATCAACAGGATTCCTCCAATGCGAGCAACACCAGCACTCTCAGGTGTCCATGGTCCCAGAGACACCCCAAGGGGGTGGGCTCGGATGGATGGGAGGTGGAGGAACCCATGAGCAATGTGACTCTTGTCTAGACTCCAGGGGACAGAGTCCGACAATAAACAGACTGTAGGTGTGGGAGAAGCTGGGGATTTAGGAAGGACTCCCAGGACAGGAAGCTCAGAAGGTGGGAGATGCCCTGTTGGTCTCAGGTTGGGGAGGGAAAAGACAAACTGAGAAACACAGGCTGGAAGTCCTTGACCCTCCAGCTCCTGGCCCAGAGCCTTGTACATAGTAGATGCTCAATAAAAATTAGTTGAATTGATCTGGGTCTTGACAGAGAGGTTGGTCAAGTCGGGACCAGCCAGCTTTATTATTCTCAGGAAAAGAGGGAGGTCAGCCTCTGCGTGCCCTCTCACCCTGATGTCACCTGTACTTGGCCCTTTGGTTAGTCTCAGCCCTTCCCAGGGCAGGCCGACTCACGGAAGAGGAGGTGCCACTCTTGTTTTTCCAAACGTAGAGAACAACAACCCCCTCCAACCCTTCCATAGCTCCGCCCTGTCGGCAAAACAACGAAACTGGAGGTACTGAAACCCGAGGGATGGGCTTGGGGAATGAACTGAGGCCCCCCCCCACCCCGCCAAGACCTCCACCTCCGATCATCTCCTCACGTTTACAGAACGGAGGTCCCAGCCCCCTCCCTACATGTAGGGCCCCTCGGAAGCGTGATCTGTCTCGGCGTCAGCCCCCCCGAGAGAGAGACAAATTAGAAGGCCGGCGACGCGCTGCCGAGGGTTGGGGGGGGCGGGGAGGGTGGTCAGGAATCCCGACCCCGCCCGGACCGCGCCGAGAACCCGACCTGACGGTTCCTGCCTAGGTGGTCCCAGCGGACCCGGGTCGGCACCCCAACCTCGCCCCGCCCCAGCTCCTGCCCTCCAGGATTCCGCGCACTCGGTTCGGGATCCCAGGTTCCGAGACGGCCGGTGATCCCGCGCCGCTTACCTGCCTGGGAGTTGCCCACCTCGGAGCCCCGGGCCAGGTTGAGAAGGAAGCCCAGCACCTGCAGAGCCGCGTTCGCCCTCATGACTCCAGCGGAGGGTGAAGGCAGCCCCGCCGAATCCGGCCCGGGGCGGGGGGACGGGGGGCGCTGGACTAGGACATCGAAGCGGAGCCACCTGAGCCGCCAGCGACTTGGTAGCGGCGGCAGAGGAGGTTGCAGACTGCAATCGGAGCCGGAGCCAGAGTCCGGGGCGGGATAGCAGGGGAGGGGTGTACGTCTGTGAGAGGGCGAAGGAGGGAGCGCAGGGGGAGGGGGTGAGTCACGGCCGCGCCCCCTCCGGCACGAGGCTGGCGTGGAGACGGCTGGAGCCGCGCACTGGCCGCCCCGAGCGCGCCCCACGCCCCAGTGCGTGTCCGTTGGGGCCACGCACATCGAGCGTCGGCCTCACCCTAGGTTTTCTTCGGGAGCTGGACTAAGGGGAGGCCAAGATTCCAAACGCCCCCAAATGCCTCCAAAGGGAAAAGGTACTGGGGGTGGGGAGAGCGCTTCAAAGCCCGGCCCCCTGAAAGTTGGCCTCGCCCATTAACCAAATCACTCAACTTCCCTAGCCGGTTGGGTCACTTGGGGGATTTTCTCTCTGAATATGAATGTTTTTTTCTGTGTGTTTTTGAGGAGGAAGGTGTTGGCCTCACGCTCAGGCCACCTCAGTTTCCCCGGAAGCCCTTCGAAACCCCATAATTCATCTACCCTGCCGAGGAACCCGAGCCCTAGAGACCGCGTGAAATCGCACTGTCTCGGGCCGCTTCCTCCTCCAGACCCGGCGCCGGCCCGGCCTCTCCGGGGGATTTGGCTGGAGGGACGGGGGCGGGGGCGGTTTCCAGCCTGGGAACAGTCCCGAAGCCCGCCTTTTCACTTCCACCCTGGGAGGGGCTCCCGCACCTGTCGCGGTCCACTCTGCTGCCCCCCACGGCCGCCTGGGAGAACAGCTGCCTCCCCTTCCACACTGGAGTCACCGCGCCGTCGGGGCGGCCGGAGTTCCCGCCGGTTTACTGCGGACCCACACCGGCAACCCGGTCCCCACTACAGGCGCTCGCACCTTCTCGGGCGCTCTCCAAGCCCGGGCTCGCGCAGGAAAGGGGGACGCAAAGAGGGCACTAGAGACTGCGTCCACGAACGGCACGGACCCCCGGCACCTCCAGCACCAGCTCCCAGATCCCGGCCGTAGGCGGTCCGGCGCACCGCGAGTGGCTGCCCCAAACCCTGCCAGCCTCCGGACGGATCCGATGGGCGCCCCCTGGTGCCCAACGCGCGGCAGTGAGGCCCCACCCAACGTCATATTTCAAATCTCTTAAGATTGGCATTCCGGATCTCGTCCAGAGAGCCTAATTATTTTCCTAGGTTTCAAGCCTAAGACCCAGAACCTTGATGAAGAAAAATTTTGCCCCTTACTGAGCCAAGACTGCCGGCTAAAATTCTTTATAAACTGGCTCTGTATTGATATGCCCGCGGGGCCCCTATTCTCTACTGGAGCCTTACCTTTGCCCTCAGGCGTTGGCCTTGCCCTGGACACCTGCAGAACAGTCATAATAGTAATAGCAACAGGGAAAACATTAACATATACATACATATATCACTTCATTTGCAAACGTTTCCTCAAACTTAGATAATGTTTAACTTAACATAAACATGTGAGGTAGGCAACATCACTCCGTTTTACAGAACTGGAAATGTGTGAATCTTCCAAGGTCATGCACTTGGTAGCAGTGGATCAAGTGTATCAGGAGAGGGAGCGTGGGGTTTTGCGTAGATTTCTTCTGTCACAGAGACTGGAGCTTCATCTGCTCAGAATCAAGTTCTCATCAGCTAACTGAGCTAAGGGCTTTTTAAAAAAACATTTTATTGTTATGTTAATCACCATACATTACATCATTAGTTTTTGATGTAGTGTTCCATGATTCATTGTTTGTGCATAACACCCAGTGCTCCATGCAGAACGTGCCCTCTTTAATACCCATCACCAGGCTAGCCCATCCTCCCACCCCCCTCCACTCTAGAATGAGCTAAGGGCATTTTAAGAGGCCTTTCCTTTTATTAAGCACCCACCTAATGTTCAAGGCTCTGGTTATGAAAGAGGAAACCCCCCTTAGTTTCTTTGTAAAACAGTTGTATCAGTCTATAAGGTTGTTGTTAGAATGCAGTAAAAGGCTAGTGGAGCTCTTAATTACGGTGTCATGCTGGTCCTTTAAGAAGCATTCAATGAGGGGCCCCTGAGTGGTTCAGTCAGTTAAGCCACCAACTCTTGGTTTCCTCTCGGGTCATGATCCTGGTGGTGGGATCAAGCCGGGGTCTGGCTCAGTGTAGAGTCTGCTTTGGATTCTTTCTCCCTCCCACTCTGTTCCTCCTCCTCCCTCTCTCAAATAAATAAATAACATATATTTTTAAAAGATTTTATTTATTTATTTGAGAGAGAGAGAAAGCAGGCACCAGGCGGGGGGCAGAGGGAGAAGCAGGCTCCCTGCTGAGCAGGGAGCTGGACCTGGGGCTCAATCCCAGGACCCTGAGATCATGACCCGAGCGGAAGGCAGACGATTAACCAACTGAGCCACTCAGGCACCCCAATAAATAAAATCTTAAAAAAAAAGCATTCAATGAATGCTAGCTGTATTTATTCTTTTTTTTTTTAAGATTTATTTATTTATCTGAGAGAGGGAGAATGAGAGAGAGAGAGAGAGTACATGAGAGGGGGGAGGGTTAGAGGGAGAAGCAGGCTCCTTGCTGAGCAGGGAGCCCGATGCGGGACTCGATCCAGGGACTCCAGGATCATGACCTGAGCTGAAGGCAGTCGCTTAACCAACTGAGCCACCCAGGCGCCCCTAGCTGTATTTATTCTTATTATCAACAACCCCACTTTTCCCCTCTCCAACTAGATCCCAAGGTGTGTTTGCTGGTATACCTCTTTCTTTTTTTTTTAAAGATTTTATTTATTTGACAGAGAGAGACAGTGAGAGAGGGAACACAAGCAGAGGGAGTGGGAGAGGGAGAAGCAGGCTTCCCGCTGAGCAGGGAGCCCGATGCGGGGCCTCGATCCCAGGACCCTGGGATCATGACCTGAGCGAAGGCAGATGCTTAACGACTGAGCCACCCAGGTGCCCCTATTTACAAAAGTTCTCTGCAGTTATCTAGTATCCCTTATCTTTCCTTACTCTTAGCTGATGAGTGATTCTTATTTTACGGTGAAAATAAAAGTAATCAGGGGCGCCTGGGTGGCTCAGTTGGTTAAGCGACTGCCTTCGGCTCAGGTCATGATCCTGGAGTCCCAGGATCGAGTCCCGCATCAGGCTCCCTGCTCGGCGGGGAGTCTGCCTCTCCCTCTGACCCTCCTCCCTCTCGTGCTCTCTGTCTCTCATTCTCTCTGTCAAATAAATAAATAAAATCTTTAAAAAAAAAAAAGAAAAGAAAAGTAATCAAAAGAAAACATAGTTATCTTTCTACCACCAATCTGGCCAGTTTACCTCCATCCTCCATTACGTACTCAGACTTCCATCTTGTTACGATGAAATCATTCTTGCTGCTATTTAAGCCAACTGTCCCCTCCCATTTCCATCCCTCACCCCCACCCCCACCTTCCAATTCTATACCTCAGTCTGTTCCTTCTTCCCTTTCTCCTGTATTATTCGCTTTCTCCTATATTATCAAATTTTCTACTAGATCATTCCCATTAGCATACAAATATGTAGTTTCTATATCTGTCACCTTAAAAATAAAACAAACTTCTGGGACCCCTGGGTGGCTCAGTCGGTTAAGCATCTGCCTTTGGCTCAGGTCATGATCCCAGAGTCCTGGGATCGAGTCCCACATTGGGCTCCTTCTTGCTCAGCGGGGAGCCTGCTTCTCCCTCTGCCTGCTGTTCCCCCTGTTCGTGCGCTCTCTTTCTCTCTGACAAATAAATAAATCTTTAAAAAGTAAAAATAAATAAATAAATAAATAAATAAAACTTTCTTTGACCTCATGGCTTTCTAGTCCTTTGCTCCTAACTGCTGCAAGATATTCTATTATGTGGATCCCTATGCTTTATTTGTTCACTACTCCAGTAAGTACCTTCAGCTTCCTACTACCGCAAGTGATGCTGCATGTGGACATTTCTCCTTTAGTTCTGTGATAATTTCTTGTGCATTTTGAGCTCCACGCTCTCTGGAATGTCACACCATCAATGGTGGGATTTCTATATCTCAACTTCCTCGCCAACCCTTAACGTTATTCAAGTTTCAAATTTTCCCACTTGCCCTGTAATCCCTCCTTCCTAATCCCCATTAGTCTCACCCTGCCTTTTTACAGCATGTGTATATTCAGTTGTTCAAGTACTATTTTATTTGTTGATAGTAGTAGATTTGTAATACTAGAAAAATACTCATACTACATAGTAAAAATGACCATAAAAGGAGGTATTTTACACACAGAATCATTTGAAATGGATCTTGTCAAATAAGTACATAGAAGAAGTAAAAGGTATAGTAAGTTTCATGTAACATAAAACCCTTGCGAGTGACTAATGCAAAAAATGAACAAAAACATTTACACAATTAGAACTAATAAGAACATTTAAAAAAGATTTCTGAGGGAT